ATGTTCGAGCAGTTAAGAATTTGATGCCTGATGAACGACTCACTTGCTGTCTAGTAGATTACAGCCCCACTGCGGCCTTGCTCATATTTGGCAATACTTTTTCAGGAAAGCTAAGAATGAGAAAAAAATTGAGCTTTCGTTTGTGAGTTTTGATTTTCCTTTGCAGGAACGCTTGAACAGTGAATCTGGTTCGCTGCTAACCGAAGCACATAGTGCAGTGCGAGAGCAGTTCGATGAAATTGTACACTGTATGGCCTCATTTTCTTGGATGAATTTAGTGCACAGTTCATCGATTAACTAGGAGCTGTTCGACTTAGCCTAGCCTGTCGCAAAAGCTCAGTCAAGAGTTATATTTGTTAGTTCGCCGCCTTTTTAATTATTTTTCATTATCCCCGTAGCTTCGATCGGTACATAGCACAACGGTTTTGGCGCTGCAACTCATTTGGAGTTATTCCCGTGCGATTCGACCCCAGTGCTACCTAAAATCAGTGTCGGTGCTACTCACTCGATGGTAGTACTGAGTAATTAGTCTTTAAAGTTTCCTGCTTGCTTTTATTACTTCGTAGAAAGGGGAACTATTGTTAGTCTTGTCAGCCGAAGCCGTTGTTTTGTTTTAATCCTCCTGAGTACGAGTGCTTCGGCTTTAATCATTTCTCCGTTTGAGTTTTACTAAAATTTGTGTTCTTCCATTCTTTCATGCGGGTTGAATTTTGTTATTTTGCCTTTTTGATTTTTTTTTAATGCCATGTCAATGCTCAAATACCAACACTTTGATAAAGTGTCAGAGTCCTCACTTTTTTTTTCACCGCTTGATACCTACACTTCCCCTTGGACTGCTGCACCTGATTCTCATGTTATCAACTTAATGCGGATCGTGTAACAGTATTTCAACGCTGCGGCAAATTTCTTTGCTTCCATGGTCGTCCGTAATGCTGTGGAGAGGTAGAGCAGTCTTTCAACATCGATCGTGACACTAACCGGTCGGTTCATCAATAGCAACATTTGGTTTTTGGAATCGTGCATGCTTCTATGTGTATGTGTGTGTAGTGTACTGTAATATCTTAAGTTGAGCATGCAAATTACATATAGGAAAAAAAATATTTTATACTTGTACAAATTTCAAACACGAAAATCATAAACGGTGGCAAAAAGTGAGAAAAATCTTTTTGAGGAAATTACAAGTCAAAGCCATTGCGATTGCTCCATTCCGCATGTTGTGCCGCATCGAGACAAGACATGAAGTATTCAGGTCTAGTTCAAGCTTCCTTCACTGACGGTTTGTGGGTTTCTCGTGTGCGACAGCGATGAATGGTGGTCCAGCAGTGCTCGCAGTAGTACTGCAAGCAGGACGGTTGCGGGCAAAAGAATGGAGCATGTCGGTGCCCACACCGCTCACCGGCACATTCATCACAAGGCTGGTCATCCAGAACGTATGGCTTCAGCTCCACCTGCAAAATTTTTTTTTAAAAATTAGGCTTTCTTTCTTCAGCTCCTTAGTATCCCCTACTTCACGCACGTGCTCTAATTTTTGGTGGGGTTGTCACTCACAGCGTCTCATCACTCATCTGCTTAGCGCTCACCTTCTTTTCCACCTCACCGTGGCTTAGCTGCACATAACGATCCGTTATTGCCTTAATATACGAATTCTCATTGGTAAA